ACATTATGAATATTTTATGTAGTTATCATATCGCAGACATTAAAAAACATGGTACAATCCTTTTAGTTGGGAATACAACAACATATAACATGTTTACAAATAATATATATATATATATATATATATATATATATATATATATATATATATATATATATATATATATATCAGTGTTGCAGAAATCGGTCTTGGCGGCTGATTAATCGGCGATTAATCGTTTGGCGGCCTTGAACCAATTACGATTAGGATGTTTCGCGGAAATTGGTCAAAATCAGTCAAACTCGGACTTGACGGTCCTTGGCGGTCCTCGGCGGTCATAGGCGGGAATTATTTAAAAAAAATCAAATTTATTAATTTTCAAATATTACACTAAAATTTTAAATTTTCAAATTTTTAAGTTTTCAATTTTTAAAAAAGTATACTAAAATTTTCGAAATTTCAAAATTTTAAAATTTAAAATTTTCAAATACTTATTTTTTTAGGATATATTAATTTTTTAAATAATTTTGTTAATAATTTAAGGTCCGCGATTAATCACCGTCTAGTCTGATTAATCGCTTAATAGCAGTCGACCGTCGAGCTACCGCTGAGCGATTTTCACAACCTTGATATATATATATATATATATATATATATATATATATATATATATATATATAATAATAGTAATAATAATAATAATTTTTTCGAGGATGTTGTAGTACCCCTACCACCCCATGTAGCTCTGCGACTGACAACATGTCTCGAAAATGGTTAAATTGAGAATAAATTCATGAGCCAATGCCCTCAACAATATTACTTCATCAACGGTGATACTTCTGATCCTTGGAATTAAAACGAAGTAGTTAGTTCTTAAGACAAAATACGAATATTTTATTAATTGCGAGCTTGGTTAAGAACATAATATAATACGGAGAAATGATCCATATAAAACAAGGCACACATGATATAAAATTTCTTAAATGTTAATAACTAGGTGTAAAACCCGTGTATTACACGGGTTGATTAAAGAAAATAAAATATTAAAATGTAAATAATAAGTATTTTTTAAAATAAAATTTTGAAATAAGGAATGAAGAAACATATTAATTCTAATTTAGTATAATATTTATTACATTTGATACTTTACATATATAAGTTTTAAGTATTATGTGGATTTTTAATTTAAAAATTTGAAAAAAACCATAAATTGACATGTGAATATTTTTTATTTAAAAATATCACAAAATGACAAGTGTCAAACTCATTAGAGATTGACTTGTGGCAAAATTATCTTAATTTATTATAGTAGATTAATAAATTCACGAGACCCGTATATAACAAAACACACAATGAACAATTATTCATCCTTTTGATCAAAACACAATACAAACATTGTAGTATACAATACGTCACTTGTTGTAAAACCATCATTTTAATAAACTTAGATTCACAATATATTCGTGGTGTCGTATTATTTACCTATGAAGATGAATACAAGGATTATGTTTTCAACTTGAAAAGAATATTTTGGGAATGAACCTCGTAAAATTGTGGTAACTATTTTGAGAATACTATGATATGTTGTTTTTAAAGTACACAAGAAAAAAATCATCTAGTGAATAACTTTTTTTCTTATTGTCACAAAATAAAATTATTATAATTATATGTCTAACATTTAGAAAAAAAAATTGACAAAATTACAAAAATGGTCCCTGTGGTATGTATTTTTTCTGAGGTTTAATCCAAATCTCAATTTTTTTTGGCTTCGTGGGCCTTTTGAGCCAGTTTCATTGCGGATTTGGCCCCTCAGTAAACTTAAAATGACTATAATACCCTTGTGGTATTTATTTTTCATTTTTTTTAAATCTATGTAACACCTGGTTTCAAATCGCTTCATTATTCGGGGTTGTGGCCCGAACATCAGTTATCACAAGGCTTGAAACATTAGGGAAGAAAGGATTTGACCCTTTTTGAATGAGGGTGTTAAAGTCTAAGTGACCCGAGTGTTCGATGGTGTTTCGGAGCCCAAGGGAATAATTGTAGTTTGTTAATTCAGTCCTTATGAATTTTGGGTTTGGTTCGGGGAGTTTTAAGTCTAAGGTGAGTTGTCAGAAGCGTAGGGCTTCTTGTCACCTTTCCGTGGATATAAAGTTCGTCGGAAATGGACTTAGATCGAGGAAGTTATGGTCTTCGGAGTGTTTTAAGGTTTAAGAGGGAACCATAGTACACGGGGCGTACAACAAGTTATGCTTGGCGTACTAGTTGAGAAACCAGTACGCGGGGCGTACCTCTGGTGTACGCTTAGCGTACTAGTGGATAAGAGTCGCGGGTCAGCAGCCTCGTACGTTGGGCGTACGAGGGGGGAATGGAAAACCCTAATTTTCGTGTTGTACCCTATATAAGCTTTATGTTAGCATCTTTTGGATCATTTCTTAGTCAGTCTCCATATCCTAAAAACCTCCAAAGTCTTTGTTTGGTGATCTTGAGCTCTTGTAAGGCTTTTGTGGAAGTTTTATGGATCTAGAAGAAGAAGAAGGAGCTTGAGCACTTGTTCTTTGAAGGAAAGCTTTGAGATCCAGCATTTGCATCTCTTTTTGGTGGCTTGGGAGGTATAACGTCCAAACCTTACCTTTTCATTTCATGTATCTTCTTCGTGGTTCATTTTTGGTCATTTTGACCTTTTTGGTTGATGATTGGGAGTTAAAGTCGTTTTGAAGCTTGTAATTGTAGATCTGGATATATCATGGGTTCCTTGGGCATAAAGGTGCACACTTTATGGTGGTTTTGGTTCCATACATGTAGTAAGTCAAGTATTAAGTTCATTTGAGCTCTAGGGTCTCATTTAGCCATGCATGCACATAAAGTTGGCAACTTTATATGATTAACCACCTTGGGGAAGTTAGATTTGAGTTTGGACCCAAGTCTTAGGATTAAGTGCTAAATTGGAAAGATGGTCATGGCTGGTGAGTACGCTGGGCGTACAAGTATGTACGTTGCGCGTACAAGCCTTTCATGATGTACGTTGAACGTACAGGCTGAGTACCCCCCCCACGTACTCGGCAGACTTAGGCTCTTTCGTTTTGGGCTTCGGTTTAGGCTTGGTTATGTTGGGTCATCTGGATTTTTATGGTTGGGCTGTTGTGACTTGTTGGACTTTCTTGGGTGAAGGACCACGAAATGAATTGGGCCTAATTTGGAAAATTAGGCCATATTTGGGCCTTAGATGTTTATTTGGGATTTTGGGCCTTTGGTCGTCTAGTTTGGGCCTTGGCTTTGGGCCAAGCTTGAGAAAGGGTAAAAAGGTCTTTTACCCTAATTTGGACTCATAGTGTGAGTCAAGAGCTAGATGTTGATGGGTTGTCATTGCGGTATTTGATAGCGCGTGGATTTTAGCGGATCTGCGGTCAGAGATTATTTGTGGGATCAGCTATTGATGGAGTGTTGTCTTGATGTGGACAGTTCGAGGATCTGCCAGCCAACAGTGCGAGGTGAGTTTTCCTCATTGTACTTGTAGATCGAAGGCATCAATGTCGGCCCATTGGATTGATATCCTGGAATGCATGTTATTGTGCTGTTGTGATTTGTTAGATCGATATCCTGGTAGATAGGATGTTGTTATGCTTAGTGATATATAGATTTGTTTGACTGGTTGTAGACTGTTATATGACTATCTGTTATATATGCACATGTTTGGTCGGTGGCCGAGTCTTCACTGCTCTGTGCGTAAGACAACATGTCGGGGCATTCCAACCCGATGGTTGAATGGGCCCGAGGGTATTCCATCTCGAGGATGATTTGACCCATAGTATGTTGGGATTCCTACCCGATGGTTGAGGGCCGATGGTATTCCATCCCGATGATGATTGGGCCCATAGTATGTTGGCATTCCAACGCGATGGTTGACTGGACCCATAGCATGTTGGCATTCCAACCCGATGATTGAGACGCCTGGGGTATTCCAACCCGATGGTTGATTGGACCTATAGTATGTTGTTTGTGGTGTATGTTATCTGTTGTGTGTTGGTACTTTAGGGGAAACTCACTAAGCTTTGTGCTTACTGTTTTTTTACTGTTTTTGGTTTATGGTTTCAGGTGCTTCAGCGAAACGTGACAAGACGAAGGCGTGACCGTACACATCCTGATTTTCTGTCATTGATCTTATGATGCACTGATTTTTAAATAATGTTATGAGAACACTAATTTTGTAAACATTTTTATTAGTAAAAGAGGTGTTTTGAAAAGTTTAAAATTGTTGAAATTTTTGGGATGTTACAATCTAATATTTATTTATTTATTTTAATAATTAAAAAAAGGAGGGCCCACCTCACACACATACACACCGGTGGAACCTCTCGTCTCCTTCACCCTCACCTCTCTTTCTCTCTATCAGGAAAACACACACTCAAAAACACCCTAACTGCCACCACCATCCGCCATCACCGCCACCGTCACCACCCCCCGCCGCCCTCTTCCTTTCTTTTGTTAACTCCCATGTCCTGAAACTCTAAGGCTCAAATTCAGACCTGTTCCTGAAACCGTAATACTCGAAATCCTGAAACCATAACATTCACGTCGTTATCATCTCTGGCGAACCATAATTAGTTCTATCCGTCTTCCATCCAGTCATCGCGGTTCTCCTTGCCGCCACCACAACCACGCAACCTTTGAATTTGATCTGATTCCTACACCACCATCTCTGATCTGTTGCGGATGCTACTTTTACGAAACCATAGCGTCGTTACCCTTCTCATATAAAACTATGGTTTTCGTCTTCAAGATCTGATGAGAAGGCGCCGCCGTTAGAGAAGGAGAGAGACGAAGTTAGGGTTTGCAAAAGCGACGACGATGGTTGGAACGAAGGGGAAGAAGTCTAAACCCTAGCTGCCACAACCTTCGACCCCCTGCTAGGGTTTCAGGACACTTGTGGCGGCTTATGAAAATGCAGTTCATGCAACCATTTTGAGTGGCGAAGGAAATGAAACACTTCAGGATCCGTTGAGATTCAACTACCATGGATCATGTTCGTCGAAAACAAAAGAGTTCAGGTGTTGATACCCAGAAACACCACCATTCCGTCGTCATTATGTTCGTCGGATTCGATTGTGTTTCTTAAAGCTGAAAATGGTGTTCTTTGTGTTGGGGTTCAAAGGGCAAAAAAGGAAACCATATTGAGAAATTTAATGGTGAAAGCTTCAACTCTCATGGCTGGTATGATGACTCAATGGTGTCCATGATTGGGGTAATTTGTTGTTTACTGCATTTGCCCTTCCATTATTTTTTACTCCTTGATCATGAAGGTGAAACACAATTAGTATCGTAATGATGGTGATCTTGTGAAGGCAGCAAGAAGATGGTGATGTTTAGAGAGAGAGAGAGAGAGGTCCTTTTTTTAAATTATTAAAATAAATAAATAACTATTAGATTTTACAAAAATGAAATAAAAATGAAAAATAAATACCCCAATGTTATTACAGTAATTTCAAGTGTACTGAGGGACCAAATCCGCAACAAAACTAGCTCAAAAGGACCACAAAGCCAAAAAAATCAAGGTTTAGACTAAACTCAGAAAAAAATACATACCACATAAACTATTTTTACATTTTGTGAATAAGATTTTAATGTAATCTTTTATGCAAATATAACATGTATCAAATATAAGTTTTAGGAATAATAATTGAAATCCATAAATCAAAATTTGCATTTTGAACAGCAAACCCCTCGTTATTTTTTAGTTGTTAACCATCCATTGGCCATGGGAAGCTAGGGCGAAGCAAAACCCCTAATTCTAAAATCATACAACCGAAGGGCACGGATTTTCAAAATCAGAACATTCAATCATTACATAGCTTTTTTCTTTACCAGAACCTGACGGTATCAGCCTCATCTCCACTGTTGTCAATTTGGCGGTTTCAGACTGAGTGGACTAATTCTTCATTCACTCTTGATCTTGTATACGAAGGAAATTTGTTAATGAACGACATGGAAATTGATCCCATATCGGGTTGATGTCAGTGACGTGGGTTCTGTACATGTTCGGCCAGTGATGATACCTTGCCGGTTCTCTCTCTGCGCCTCGCCGGCTCCGCCCGCCGACCTGCTCCGCCTGCTACCTCTAAGTTGAGGTATTTTTGATATGTGTTGTAATTTGTTGTTTATTAATTGCTAATACCTAGCTATCTATTTGTTATTGTTAATCGTGGGAATGTTTAGTTGAGTTAGGATTTGTTGAAAATCGATTTGTTGGCTGTTAATTCTTAGTTGTTACTACTTGATATTTTGTTGCACGATTCCAATTCCCTTCCAAACCAAAAAGTAAAAGAATCCATTAATCCCAAAATAGAAAAACAGAAAGAGAGGAAGAGACAAACTGCAATATCCTTTTTGGTTCTCTTTTTAAGGATTAGACTATGTGGGAAAAGGCATGTACAATACCACTTTCAAGAACATTATCATGATTTAGATCAAAACCATCTTCAAAAAACAAGAAACCTGGCTCGATCTCTCTTTGATTCTATCATCTTTTATAGTTTCATCATGCCAATTTTTCTATCATTAATTGAAAGATTATAGTTTGAAGACAGATCAAAGTTAAAGGAAAAGTATGATCAAGAACAAGAAAACTCTAGCAAGTGATCAACTTTTATGCATAAAAAGTATTGAACCCTAGAATGAATGTAAAATGATGAATGGGGTTTGCAGAAATGGAAGATGAGAGAAGAGCTGATTTGAGAATAAGTTGTTTATTATTTAGTTATATTATGTATTACATTGTATATATGTATCTAATATTTTATCATATCATGTATAACACTAGATTTATGTATAGGTGATTATTGGGAAGCTTCACAAGGGTTTATGCTGCAACAGACACTGCATTCCTTATCAGTGTTGACTATCCAGTTAGGTGTCAACTGATGAAGCATTTAGACTTAATTCAGGTGACATATTGTTATACTTGAAAGATTCCTTATCTTTTTTTTTATTCATTCTGTGATTACAGATTCCCAATTCTATAATGCTGTATCTAGCTTTTAAATATGTTATTTATTGTCTTCATTCAGTAGCTTATCAGCTTAAGATTAGGGTCTGTTAGGTTTGAAGGAATGGAATGGAATGACAAAGGAATGGAATAGACAGAGTAATTGAAAATCCATTCCATGTTAAAATGAAAAAAAAACAGAAGGGATGTGGAATCACATTCTTTCAACAATATTTTTCATTCCAATTCCAATGGAATCAACGATTCCGATTCCATTCCCTCCTGGATTCCATCATACCAAACACTACCTAAATCATTAAAATGACAAGGGAAAGTATAAAAGTAAATATATCCGGACATAACAATACTTTTTTTTTTCCCAGATGGAACAAGTCTCTCCTAATAGCAAGCATCAAAACAGTGAAAAACCGGAATTCGAATCCGAAAATGGAAAAAAGGAATTCGTTGCCCCATGTGTAGGAATGGAATTCGAATCCTACGATGACGCATACAATTACTACAATTGTTATGCTCGAGAAGCAGGATTTCGCGTACGTGTAAAAAACTCATGGTTTAAAAGAAATTGCAGAGAAAAATATGGAGCAGTTTTATGTTGTAGTAGTCAAGGCTTTAAAAGAATAAAAGATGTCAATCGTTTAAGAAAAGAAACAAGAACAGGTTGTCCAGCAATGGTCAGAATGAGATTAGTAGATTCCAGAAGGTGGCGAATTCTCGAAGTTACCCTCGATCATAACCATTTACTTGCCACCAAATCTTTCAAATCCTTCAAGAAAACCGGCATTTGTGGAACAAAAAATACTATTCAATCAGATTCCGAAGGGCAAACGCAAACAGTAAAATTATATCGTGCGCTTGTGATTGACTCCGGGGGTAATAACGGAATTTCACATGAAACGGGTCGGGAATTGGGATCGGGCTCTGGGCCCGCATCTGATTTTCATCCGGATCGATTGAATTTAAAGAAAGGCGATTCGCAAGCAATTTATAATTACATCTGTCGTATGCAGTTGACAAACCCTAATTTCTTTTACTTGATGGATGTTAACGACGAGGGGCGTTTAAGGAACATGATTTGGTTAGACGCCAGGTGTCGCGCTGCGATTGGGTATTTTTCCGATGTGGTTTATTTCGACACGAGTTACTTGTCGAGTAAGTACGAGGTCCCGCTCGTGACGTTTGTCGGAATGAATCATCATTGTCAAACGGTGTTACTAGGTTGTGGGTTGCTTTCGGGAGGGACAAAAGAGTCTTTTTCATGGGTTTTGAAAGCATGGTTGACTTTGACCACTACATCAGGGCGGGTCCCACAAACAATAGTGACGGACAGGTGTCGGGTTTTACAAAGTGTTGTTTCTGAGGTGTTCCCGAAAACCCACCACCGGTTTAGTCTATTTCACATCATGAAGAAAGTTCCGGAAAAGTTAGGCGGGTTAAGAAACTACGATGCTATTAAAAAGGTATTGATGAAAACCGCTTACGAGACGTTAAAACCGTATGATTTTGAAACCTCGTGGGGTTTCATGATCCAACGGTTTGGAATCGGGGACCACGAATGGCTCCGATCTTTATATGAAGATCGGGCCTGGTGGGCCCCGGTATATCTAAAGGACACATCGTTCGCCGGAATATCTTCTGGCGACACGTTGTGTCCAGTATTTGATAAATACATTCACAAACAAACGCCGCTAAAAGAATTTCTCGATAAATACGAACTCGCATTACAGAAAAAGCACAAAGAAGAAGCAAACGCTGACATGGAATCGAGAACCGTGTCCTCGGTTTTAAAAACGAGATGTTCATTTGAGTTGCAGTTATCGAAGATTTACACGAGGGAAATTTTTAAGAAATTTCAAGTGGAAGTTGAGGAGATGTATTCGTGTTTTAGTACCACACAAGTGCATGTTGATGGCGCGGTTGTAATTTTTTTGGTGAAAGAGCGTGTTTTGGCGGATGGAAGTCGGCGGGAGATTAAGGATTACGAGGTTTTGTATAATAGAGGTGCGGTTGATGTTCGTTGCATTTGCAGTTGTTTTAATTTTAATGGTTATTTATGTAGGCATGCTTTATGTGTGCTTAATTTTAATGGGGTTGAGGAGATTCCCTCCAAGTATATTTTATCGAGATGGAAGCAGGACTATAAGCGTTTATATGTTCCAGATTACCATGCTGGATGTAATACTGTTACTGGTACTGATGCTGTTCAAGGGTTTACTCAGCTGTATAGAAGCGCGTTGCAAGTAGTGGAGGAAGGTGTTATTTCTTTGGATCATTATAAGGTTGCTTTGGATACATTTGGAGAGTGTTTAAGTAGAGTTCATAATATTGAAGATAAACATGAATAGAATTTATGTTGTTTTTTTTTTTTTTGGTTGAGTGGTGTTTTTGCTCATTCTTGTGCATATTTACTTTCTATTCGCTTATGCTTGGTATAAAATGTTCGATCATGGGACTTTTTACATTTGCATGTACATATACATATTGTAATAATTCGTCCCATCTGGATTGAAAATATATATATAGTTGACTACTGTTTTCTAGTCAACGTTGTGGAATATTCCGTTTATTTTTTCTTGGCCATATATGGTGAAACCAAACGGAAGGTTTATAAGGTATAAGAAACGAGGTCTTAAGTGTAAATTTCTAAACATTGAGGGTGTAAATTGGCATACCGGAAAGTTTTTAACATTTCTTTTTTCTCTCCAGTAGGACGCGGGATATTTTCCCTCCAATCTCTCATCGCCATTTTTGCCCTCATCAAGCTAAAGGTACTCTATCTCTCTATCTCTAACTCACATACATCAAAGAATCATAACTGAAGTGTGAAATGAAGTTCAAGGCCTTTCTCACCGATCATGGAGTTCACCTTCTGGAGAAGAGATTCCTTCAAGCCCTAGACAAAATGGGGAAGACATGCCATCTTTACCTAACGAAAGATCACGCTATTTTCCTCCACAATCTTCTCAACGGAGATGGAATCCAATCAATTGCTCAGTTCCGAAAAGAAGCCCTATTCGAAGACTATCGAATCTCAAGCCAAAACGACGATCGCATCGCCTTCACCATCGACCTCTCGCTCCTCCACCGGGCCCTCCGCAGCATCGTCACCATTTACACAGAATTTGGAGGTTCCCACAGTTGCCCTACTCTCAATCGCCTTCAAATCAAGTTAGTAAAGAAACTCCCTCCTCATTCACAGCAACCGATGCCGTTTCTCACTTTCGAAACCAAGGGCTACAAATCCGCTGTTATCCAAGACGTTCCGATCTCTAAACCGTTATCCAGATCTGATGTTCTCGAACTCCAAGCCGCGCTAGACATGGCGCAAGATCTGCCTCAAACCCTAGTTCAAGTTCCTGACATGAATCAACTACAAAACTTTGTGGATCGGATGAAGAATGTCGGTGATGTGCTAAATGTTTCCATAAGCAAATCCGGCGACCTCCATTTGCAAATCTCGACTACTTTGGTCACACTTGGAGCAGAGTTCAGGAAATTGGTGGTCATCGGAGAGCAGACGGCGGTTCCAGCCGGAGATGATAATCTGAGTGCTCAGACACGTTCGCGGAGGGCAATTGAGAGGGGGGATGCGATGAATGTTCAAGTAAGCGTGAAACATTTCTTCAAGTCTCTTCAATGTCACTTGGCGAAACCAGATTCTGCTTTCTACGGGATTGGGGAACAGGGTTCTTGCTTGACAGTGGTGTTCCAGTTTTTTATACCAGGTACGCGTCAAACAGATAAATCTATCAGTCTTCATTGTCGTCTTCCTGTGCTTGACCCTGGTACCAATTAAGGCCTCCAAGGAATATTTACAATATACATTATTTTTAAGTTATATGCCTTGTTCTTATGGTTTTGTTGGCTTTTCCTTGAATTAGGTGAATTGAGTGTTAGACAATTGATAGTGAAATGAATTTGTGAATATTTTCAGTTTTTAACTTCTAACACTTGTAATTTGGCCATTTGCGTTAAAAGTTGGGTCATTTATGCTAAATGGTAACCAGATGTTACACCTGAGTAGGCGACTTCACTTTTTTTTAGAAGGTTAAGGTATAGTTTGAATTTTGCTTCATTGTTGTGATTTTTCTCTATTTAATCATTTTTGTACCTTCTCAAGTATTATTGCTTTGGCTTTAAATATTTGGAAGTCATTATACATTTGAATTGCTAATTAGTACTTAGAGGTGTAATAATCATTTTATATACAAGAGAAAAAGACATAAATAACCACTTTTATAAGTTTATTTTTTCCAAAAAGTTAGGCAAAAAGAAAAACTAAATATCATAGGGTCCACTAATGTCAAACGGGGAAGACCCTTTTAATGGTGAAAAGGATATCGTTTTGCCAATTCAGAATTCAGAATTGGGGGTGGGAATTTTTGGTTAAATGATAGACTTGCATGTCGTGGTTAGACGTGGAAAATTGTTTTTAGTTTTCTTTGGTAAAGTTGGACGACAAAAGAGTAGAATTTTCATTTTTAGTTTTTCATAAAAAAAAAAATTAAAAAAACATGCTTGGTTAAAACTAATCGAGTTTCCAGTTTAGAAAGTTAGTAAATGTATTTTTTTATCAGTTTTTATTTTCTTTTGTTTGCTATTATAACTTATAAGTTCATCCCAAATTTAGTTCTTTTTTTGTTTTAAAAATTACCTTTTATGAACTTTTTTCTACAATTTTTTACAACAATTCTAAACTCTTTTATATATAATTTTTTTACACTTTCATACAACATTTTTAAGCAAGAGTATTTCTAAATGTTATAGCAGGTGCAAAAACAGAAAGCAAACATCTATCTATCTATCTTCCATCCGCAGGTAATTATGCACCGCTAAGAAAGCAAACATCACCATAACATCTAACTCATCGTCCTTTGAGTAAGAGCTACTACATGAAGAATATGACATTATAACACTTCATCTGCAAAATAAATCATTAATAGTTAATGTTCATAAGTAAAATAACATATGAAGTTCATACATAACACATAAAACACACCAAATTCAAACACCACATAAACTAGTGCAATAAGTGATATAAAGTTTCATATGACATCCCTACATTATAATATAACTATTTATCCAAACTATCAAGCCAATCTTTCCTTATATTCTAAGACATCATTAAGGCCGGACGGAGTCGTCGGAAAAGGTAAGGGCGGTATCAGGGGTACCGCGGGGAAACGATAATGCCGGCCATGGGTTCAGTGGGTTCGCAGTTTCATTGTCTTTAATTGGGTTGGTGAACCCGTGTCTAGGTGGTAGAATTGTTTTGTTTTTCTTGAACAGTTTTATGTTTTATGCATGTATGTACCTTTTCAGTCATTTAAAGAATATTCTTCTGCACACGTACACTCTTGAATGCATGATTTTATGTGACTTTGATTTTGACTACATTAATAATACGATTTCTTTGTTTTTTATTTTTTATTTTTTTGTTTTATAAATTTATTTAATTTATGGTTTTGTAGTGTTTTTCCACATTACATTAAGAAGAATACACAATTTATTCATTTATTTTTAAAGAAGAATACACAATTCATTCATTTATTTTTAAATGAAAAGGGTTATGTTTTATTTTATTTTATATTTTTTAAAATAAATGAATAAATTTATCGTTTATTTTAATACTTTTATTGAATTGTCAAATTTCTGATTTAATATTCATAAAGATTCCTGCACATTTTCCTCATTTAATTGTCATAAATTACTCTGCCTCTTTTGACCAACCCATGAGTTTTTTTTCACCTCATGTATAAGATTTCATGCAATATTAAATTTATAAAAACACAATTCACTCATTTGTAGTGTGTTTTGTTTGGAAATTTTATACAAACCGGTTCAATGTCTTCGGTTACATTCAATGGATTCTCGAGGCAAATCTAAACAAACCGGTTCTAGCCAAAGACGTAAAGCCACACAAGGAGGTTCAAGTCAAGATATTCTATTTTTTTCTCTAGATTTTCAAAATCTAAACTATTAGCAATACCAAAACTATCAACAAAACCAAAATTACCAACAATAATATTTTTCCAGTGCAACAATCCTACAACACATTTAGGCTTCCAGAAGAAAATCAGAGTTATAATCCATGGAATCGGTTTTCTCAAAGGGTTCCAGAAACCCAATTCCAATCTTCTCAACCCGAAAATTTCCAGTTCCGTGATGCTCAGAGTGAAGAATCTGACAGTTCTAGTGACGACCCGACTCCCGAAAGAAACGAAGAAGAAACCAGCGAGGAGTTGCAACCTATTGCTGGGAAAAATCACAACTATACACACCGCCAGAAGCGAAAGAACTGGGTGGAACGCGAAGAGTTGACTTTGGCTAGGGCATATGTCGATGTTTCTAAAGATAAACAACGCGGAAATCAACAAAGGTTTGATGCATTTTGGGAGAGGATTCTAGAGCATTTTAGTGTTCAAATTGGAGGTTCGGATCCGTCAGGACACCAAGTAAACTCCAAATGGAAAGACCTCCAAAATAAATGTAATGCTTTCAACGACATCTATAACTGTAAGATGAACAGTGTGGCTAGCGGGTGATCTGAGGCTGATGTTTTACAATCTTCACTAAGCGAGTATCGGAGGACTATCAACCAGAAAGGTTTTCCTCATCAACAAGATTAGGAGTGGTTGAAAGACAATGCGAAATGGGCATTTGTTACAAAAGCGGGTGAAGACTCCCCGCCTCCTTCAAAACGAACCAAAACATCTTCATCCAACGCATACACATCATCTGATCCACAATATCCTCCTGGATTCCCCCCCCCCCCCCCCACCCCACCAACAACAACAACCGTTTAGTGTTGAAGACTCACTGCCTCAGAGAAAAAGAAAGGGAAAGAAAGCGACATCGACATCATCAACAGAAAATGAAAATGTTTGATCTCGTTAAACAAATTGCCGGCATCAAGACTGCAACCGAAACAGAGATGAACAGAGACAACGGTACCGTGAACAAAAATTGCGCATTCTCGAAGCTAATGAAGAACAAAAAGCTCAACTGTTGGATCGGGAGATAGAGAACCAAGATATGAAGTATTTTCTCCGACCGCATGATCATTTGACTGAAGGTATTTTGCGTACGGTGCTTGAAAGGACACGACAAATTGCAACTAAGTATGGTTGGGAGTTGGAGAACCCGTGAAGTTCAAAATGTCGACATCATTTGACTGGAGAATCTTTTTTTTTTCTTTTTATTAAGATTCTCTATATATTTATCCTTGTTTCATTATCTATATATAGTTATGCTTATTTCGTTATCTATATATATGTATGTTTGTTTCATTTTCTCTCTATCTTTTCTCTTTTGTCAAAATGAATCCAAACATTCGGAAAATAGTAATGGAAGTTAACGATGATAGTTCATCATCTAAGGATGAACTTATCAACAATAATTTGTTACCTGTATTGTCTTATACTGCACAACTTCTTCTTCAGAATAATGCTAGTTCAAGCAACATTCAAAGGAGAAACACAATCCACAGAGACCGTTTAGAGGCTGAACGACTGCTGAACCGACATTATTTTGCAAATGATTCAACCTATGGTCACGCACAATTCCGCAGAAGGTTTCGTATGAGCAAATGTTTGTTTATGCGACTTGTTGGTGACCTGGAGACGAATTATCATTATTTTCAAACAACATGGGATGCAACAAATCAAAGAAGTTTCAGTGCTCTACAAAAATGCACATCCGCAATACGACAATTAGCGAAGGGTTATAACCCAGACTCGTTAGATGAGTATCTGAATATGTTAGAAAGAACATCTCGTGAACCTCTTGAAAACTTTTGCTACGGTGTTGTCCAAATGTATAAGGCTGAATATTTAAGCCGTCCAACATCCACTGACATTCAACTTTTGTATGAAGCACATGAAGCTAGACATGGATTCCCTGGAATGCTTGGTAGTATTTACTGCACATAATGGAATTGAAGGAATTGTCCAACGGAATTGAGAGGCCAATATATAAGGGGTGACCATCTGTATCCATCAATGATACTAGAAGCGGTGACGTCACAAGATTTATGGTTTTGGCATGCATTCTATGGTGTAGCCGGTTCTAACAATGATTTAAACGTCCTCTACCAATCACCATTGTTTGATGAGAAATATCATGGAACAGGACTGATTGTTCATTTTATCTGAATGGTGAACACTACAAACATGGTTATTATCTTGCGGATGGAATATATCCATCATGGGTTGTATTTGTGAAGACATATCCATATCCGGTAACCGACAAAAAGATACGGTTCAAGGCAGCACAAAAATCAGCAAGAAAGGACGTAGAACGTGCTTTTGGGGTCCTTAAAGGACGTTGGGACATATTAAAAATGTCTGCACGAGCTATGACGGTGAAGAAAACAAAAAATATAATGTACGCTTGTATTATACTACACAATATGATATTGAAAGATGAGGGTGTTGCGATATCTCCTGTGTATTAGCCCGACCCCCACCCCCCCCCCCCCCCCCTCCCCGCCCCGACGAAGTTGATGACCAAGAAATAATACATGAATTGCGCAATGCTGAAACCCACCACCAACTTCGATCCGATCTATTGATCACATTGAACATGTTTACATTCCAACTCTAGATAAATAACTAGTTAATTTTAATTGTTGTTTTAGGATTTAAATTATGTTGTCTTTTTTTAAGTGTATTTTTTTAATTATCGTGTTTTATAATTATTGTGTATTTTTTTTATTTGTAGTGTGGCTTTTTAATTAAATGTTAATTTTAATATATTATTTTAGAATTTTTTTTGTTTAAATTAGCAAAAAAAATAAATCAAAAAAAATGTTATGTTTTATTTTAATTTATATTTTCTATTTTAATTAAATAAAAAAGAATATTAAATGTTATTTTTAATATTATTTTAGAATTTTTTT